ATTGTGTGACAGACACTAGGGAGCGTTGCTAAGCGACCGTGGTGATGCGCGCTCATCCGGACAACTTGCGCTCATCACTCATCGCTCATCTCAGGCTAAACTTGTGTATCATTCGATAACTTAAACAATCTCATTTGTCGCTCGTACCCGACCTCGATCACTAGTGAAACTGAATAGATGTCACAGGTAAAGCAAAGGCAATAAATACAATGGTAATTCAGCTGAAATGCAAATAGAATTTTTGAAAGCATTAATGTAGTAGAAGGTGTATATTCAACTTTGTCCGTTATTTTGTAGGGTTTTTAAATACTTAGAAGCTTGGCAATATCAGAGGAGGATGAGTATTGGAACACAATCAAAGTAATTTAATACATAAGTTGAAAAAAAACTGTTTAGCTTAAAAGATTAAACTTTTTAACACTTAAGGCATACAAAAAAAAAAAGCAAGGTTTTTTTAGGGGACATACATAAGCCCTTGCGTTAAGTGGCAAATTCCACATTCCGTGGCATATTTATCCTGGTGGTAGTGGCAAATTCCACATTTCGCGACACCCACGCCCTGGTGGTACCGGCAGTGGCACATTCCCAGTAAAACATACACCTAGGTAGGTGGTTGTGGCACATTCCACATTCCGCGTCATCTACACCCTCGTGGTTGTGGCACATTCCACATTCCGCGTCATCTACACCCTCGTGGTTTTGGCACATTCCACATTCCACGTCACCTTCACCCTTGTGGTTCGTCACCTACACCCTCATGGTTTTGGCACATTCCACATTCTGCGTCACCTTCACCCTTGTGGTTGTGGCACATTCCACATTCCGCGTCACCTTCACCCCATCGAGGAAGTCTACCTCGATGCTTCACCCTCGTGGTTGTACCACATTCCACATTCCGCAACACCTTCGCTCCAGTGGTGGTTTCACATTCCGCGAGACCACCGAGGGTATCGACCGGCGACAATGGGGGTGTTTTGATTGCGACGCTGGGGGATGAAATTGGATCTGTCAATCACGCGCGTCTGTCGCTCTCCCACGCGCCGCCGCCGACAGTATGGAATTTTCTCAGATGTATTTAGAGATAAGTCCGGGTCGCCAAGTTTGTCAATATCCGAGTCAAGATGGCGGCTAGACACGTCCTTATTGAATCCACCTATCGCACAGATGTGACGCCGAATACAGTTTACCTCTCTTGATTTTCTTGTGGAGGATTTATCGAATCTTACATTCCTTTGTAGTCGCGTCTGATTTATGTGGGTACGTTTTTGGTGAAGAGTGCTGGAAAAGCTCTGACTTGTATTTCGAAGATGTTTAGGACATATTCATCTTTATGTAAAATATTTTTAAACAGTTGGGTTAGAAATTCAGATTTTTTCGGAATATTTAATACACAAATTTTTATTAAGTCTTGATTATGCCCTAAATTATGCGAAAAGACAGATACCGACATTGCGACGATTACTTTGCCTTGGCCCTACTATTGATGGGATGTATGCATCACTTATCCCATCCTCACCCCGCCATCGCGCCGCGGTCGACAAGCCACAAGCCAGGTGTAGGCTGTAGGGGTTGAGCTCGAGATGAGAGCCAAGAGGGTATCATCGCGTCATATCTCGAGGACCATACAAATATGAAGGGCAGGTGCGATAAGCCACAGGTAAGCCCCTCACAATCACAGTAATCGTCCCATTGTACCCCGAGTGGGGAGACTGGGTTTTTGCTTTTGATTCTTAAGTCTCGTATAACCGTTGGGGGCGTTTTCGTTTTGTATCGTTTTGTTGGGGAGTGAGGATGAGGATGAAACGGTTATAAATTCGATTCTTATCTCGGCTTTCAAAGTCCCCCGTTATAGTTATAGAGTTTCAATTGTGGCGTTGAATAAAGTAGCCATCTACAGATACACAATACTGTTATGATGTGGTTGTCATTCAACTTTCCTTATTACTTAGTATTCTTCGTATTTTGATCATTTAAAATTGAGAGCCTCTTCTGTACAAATTTGTTATTAAATCTAGCCTAACCTAACCTAACTCAACCTAACCTAGCCTAACCCAAAATAACCTAACGTGCTTAGGATGAATTTTGATAGTGTCGTCCCTCTTCTTAAATAGAATTATACACTTTTATTCCTCCCCTCCCCCAAAAAAACGATCAAAATATTACAATTATATGTGTAGGGTGTAGAAACGTGTTATCAAAGGGTAGTGAATACAATGCAGGATCAAAATAAACCCCCATTTCCTTGTATGTGAGGAAGTGGTCGTATGTGTACAGTTTGGTTCTGTATTTGTTTATACGATCACGTGATCTGAGAGAAGCTGCAGGGATTCAACAAGCCGAGAACAACTGGAAACTGGAGACAATAACAGTGGAAAATAGCGCGGGAAATAATGGAAAGCGATTACAGCGGCGTGGCGGGAGCGGTGTTGCCAGATCGTGCCTTCCTTGGCAATGTTGCCACATCGTGCGTCGAACGCTCAATAAAGACAATAGCCTAAGTATTTCACTTCACCCATAACTCGTATAGCGTCGTTACCGACCTTTATTTAGCAAATATACTTCTCGTTAAAACGAATGCCGTTTTTCTCTCAGATTGATTTCACAAAAGATTTTTCTTTTGTAAACGATTTTTAAATTGAAACCCGTATTTTGTTTTCATTTCGACGTAAGCTAAAAGGGGATAATTTTGGCTCCATTAAAATCGTATTTTTAACGTCCGTGATTTTCCGTCTTTGATTTCTACTATAAACGTTTATTTGCATTGCACTCGACATTTACACAAACGTTAGCTTTGCAAAGCCAATATTATTGGCATAAAAGTAGCAATGACGCTTCCAATAGTAATTAATTAAATAATGTATGAGGCTACAATGGGGTTTGCCGTCAATGATTATTTAACTGTATTTGAGTGCCTGTGAATGATTAAATGCTGCTGTTGATTTCCTTTTACGGTATAGCTCGTGATGACACAAAACGTTCAGAATATTTTTGTACAGTTCTATGCATTTGCATTCCTAATATTTTGTTTAATTAAAACTATCCAAATAAAATAGCAATTATAACTAATGTAATTAGCTATTTAGACGTAGATTGTGCTAATGTATGAGATTTCAAATTATTTAATTGAATAGACATTTTATAACAAATATACTTTTTACAACAAAGCATAAAGGTTATGGGGGTTCAAGCAGATAAAACTTAAAAATGCAATAATTAAAAACATGTTTAATTTAGCACGTGATTTATTTTTCTAAAAATATAAAATGGAATATACAGGAGTGTTACACGACGTCCAAAAGTCACGACGTACAACGATTTAAGTCAGTGTCACAACATCCAAAATGTAATTTTTAAGATTTCTCACGACGTCCAATAGAAACTATTTGACTGCTGCATGACGTCCAAATCTCATCATGTCCAAAATAAAGCAACTGAAAGAAACACAGTCTTTCTACAAGCTTTGGACGTTATGGGACAACAGTCAAATATTTTATATTGGACGTCGTGAAACAGCTGAAAAATGATATTTTGGACGTCGTGGCACTGGGTTATGTCATTGGACGTCGTGGCACTTGGACGTCGTGCAGTGCATCCGAAAATATTGTCCTTAACTTAGTGCTGGATTTTCATGCCCTCTAAAATACTGTAGACCTGATTAAAATGTAATTTTAGTGCTGTTGCCAATTTCCTATCACAGTATACAGCAAACGAAATCCGAATATCTGGTAACACTAAAATACATTTTTTATCCATTTTGTATACAAACTATAATTATGCAAATAAACAAATTAAATTAAATATCTAAATTAATTATGCTATTTTAATATGTATTATACTAATTTACCATTCAATTACACAGAGAGTATTTTTTAATCATGAAGACAAGGAATTCTATTTGGAACGCATTTTAAAATCCAATAATTAAAAACAATCTAATTTTTAGTGTAGGCTCTACAATCAACGCTATTTTCCTCTACTCATCCTCTAAAATCAGTTTTAACGTTAACTTTGACCGTCGTTAACTAATAACGTTCTATAATACCCTCCCCCTTCCACTCTCCCTCTTTATCCTGTTATCCTTTTCGATAAAACCAAACCAATGTTCGGGAACCCTTTGCGACAGTAGCACCTGACGCTAAGCAGATTAGTTGCATAAAAGGAATTTAATGTAGTGGCGGGCCCTTGATACCCGATATCCGAGATGCTATTTTCTGATTGGCCCCGAGATTTTCTGTAAAAAATCATCGACAGATCCCAAACCCTCGCATTCCTCGGCTTGAATTACCCGGCTTCTATTTGTCTGAGGCGACGAAGGTTTGGGTCGTGATGTGTCTATTATTAGTTCCTCTGTTATTTATTATTTGTTTTTAGTGTTAACTGTCAGGCCATGTATTGGGTGAAAACGAAAAATTAAATTTCTTCAAAATATGAATATCTATTGTAGAAGACTTAACTTGACTTAACAATAACTATGTGCATTACATTACATAACATTAATTGAGTATGATAATGTTGACGATACACTCATAAAATTGACTAAGAACACTATTGAAGTACAATATTCGATTGAACACTTCATGCGTAAAAGTTGTCAACTCAATTTTTTAAAGGTTCTATAACAAGTAAGTTTCAAAATACCATCTGCGTCAGTGAAATATTTTCAGCATTGATGTGGACAGCTACCAAGGAAAGTTTGCTTTCGTGAACTTTATACCAAATGCTACTTGCTATGACTTGTTTCAGAGGAAGAACGGTTTTCACTGAGTGCATAATAATGGGTTAGTTTCAGTAGGCTATTGGTCAGTAAAATTTGTTCTTTGAGGAGGAAAGTTTGATTTCGTGAATTTATTGTATACAATTTTGACTTGCAATGACAGGTTGAAGAAGAACTCTGCAGTTCAAAAGAAAAGGTTAGTTCAAGTAGGTTGAAGGTAAAATTTGCTCATCTTGGAGGTGGAAAGTTTGCTTTCATAAACTTAATGTTCCATTTGTTCTTCCAGAGGAGCATTGCAGTGCGGCGGCGGCCATCTCCCAGAGCTCGCTGTTCGGCTGCTCCACGGCCGGCCACTCCGGCATCAACCAGCTGGGAGGAGTGTACGTCAACGGCCGGCCTCTGCCGGACTCTACCCGCCAGAAGATAGTGGAGCTCGCCCACAGCGGCGCTCGGCCCTGCGACATCTCTAGGATACTGCAGGTCTCCAACGGCTGCGTCTCCAAGATACTCGGCAGGTCAGTTCACAGCCATAACCAGGCTGAAAAGTTATTTTGTGCTGGCTATAGTATAAGGGGAAATATACTAGATCAGGTTATTACAGAGAGGAAAAGTCTAAATGGTTGAGAAGGTAAATAAAGATGATAAAAGACGTCTTTGACGTGTAGGGTATCAACCCAGTGCAATCAGTCAAAAGGCTTATAACTTATGAATATATCCGATGATGGTACCATTCCATTATCCATAGCTGTTGCGTATTCAATATATTTTGCATATTACTAGCCACACTTACTTTTCATACTAAATACTATGAGAAGAAGTTGCAACTGACTCACATTATTGAAAAGCTCCATTTCTCAAGCAACTGTATGTGCATCAATTGCGCCCATCGGTAGAAGCAGTATCTCTTTAAGAGTACAGTATGTGCGTTTCCATAAAGATATTAAAAGGACAAAAGTTATCTAGATATCAAAAAAGGCAGAAAAAAGGAACAGTCACCCAAATCAGGCAACCCCCAATTATTTCTTCATGACTGTTTTGCAGCATTTTTGAATAACTGTTCTTGAATCAGTTATTAGCGAGCTTTACCCATATCACATTTTTTAGTTGATTCAGAATAGTTAAGCACGGGTACATCTGCTGTTGATACAGTGTATGTATGTGTACTTGCAACTCTTGCAAGTAAGGTACTTGGAAATTTGTAGCCCAGCAGCGAGTGTCAACCTTAGTAGCATGCTGTATCGTTGTAGAGAGCAAATCACGGCTGACGTAGCTACTTCCCCTTGTGTTCTAGGTACTACGAGACAGGTTCCATCAAGCCCCGTGCCATCGGCGGATCCAAGCCCCGGGTAGCCACCAATGGCGTCGTCTCCAAGATCGCCGAGTACAAGAGGGAATGTCCGTCCATCTTCGCCTGGGAAATCAGAGACCGTCTGCTCAGCGAAGGAGTCTGTACCAATGACAACATTCCTTCCGTAAGTCATTCCTATTCTCAACTAGTATTAAGTTTTATTTAAATAGACTACTCTGTAGTCTGTTCTTGGAGATAAAATGTCCTGTCAACTAGAACGCGTTGCACGTGTTGAGCGATACTGATGTGGACGGTACCCTGTGGGGTATAAGTCGAATTTCACAGCAACCTGTTCTATTGCTTAGTGTTACAGCACATATCCAGTCTTTAACTTTCCAATGTAAACACAAGACATGGCTCTAGTTCGCGACGATGACAAAGTCAAACAACGTAAAACTTGGACAACGACAAACTTGGACAACGATAAAGTCAGACAACGCCAAAGTCTGACAACGAAAACATCAGAAAACGACAAACCTGGAATCGTCCTGGTTTGTAGTTACTACATCACACTAGTAATGTAAAAAAATCTGCCCTAAGGCTGCGTTTTATTATAGTTTTCTTGAGTATTCAAAACATATCATGTCCAATCAGTAAAGTTTACAGAAGTCTGAATTCATAGATTATTTTTACAAAGACTGCCAAACTCTCATATTTCCTATGACAGTAACCACAAAGGGGTTTAGTGGATTGTCTACATGCAGAAATAAGTGCCTGGTCTTCTGGGCCTCTCGTTTTCCAAGTTTTTTAAGATCATATTCAAGAATGCATCCCCCAGTCCTCAGCCTACGTCATGGCAATAACGTGGGGAAAATTACATATTTCTTTATATCCTGATTCCTGAGAGTCTTGTCTTTGCCATTTATACTCCTTGATGTCCAGTTTCCTGACAGATTTAGCCTGATAATTTTAATTACACTGTTATGTATTACATACAAATGTATAAATTACTAGTCACTGATTTCGTGTACTGCTAGTGGGTGCTTATTACCGATAATTACTGATATATTGAATTGTAGAGAGAAGTACTGTCCATAACCAGTCACAATGTCCCGATGAGTTTCACAGAGATATAACGCCAGGGATTAATCTTAGCCAAATCTGAGGAGAGTATTTGTGTAGGCAACAATGCAGTTGTTTTGGTAAAGCCCCGCTAGTGAGGGGTGTGTAATGTCAACCCATTAAGGCGATATTGTGGGGTAACCCGATAGTTGGGCCCTTAACCTGTGGTAATACGGCTTGACTCCCCGCGGGGCTTCGACAACACGCGCCGCCTTCACCTCCCACCTTCAACCTCCAACCTGTCATTACCTCTGACTTGCGATACATCTAATCTACAGTTTGTACAACATTGGTCCACACGCCTTCACCTACCACCTTCAACCTGTCATTGCCTCTGACTTGCGATACATCTAATCTACAGTTTGTACAACATTGGTCCACACGCCTTCACCTACCACCTTCAACCTGTCATTACCTCTGACTTGCGATACATCTAATCTACAGTTTGTACAACATTGGTCCACACGCCTTCACCTACCACCTGCAACCTTCAACCTGTCATTACCTCTGACTTGCGATACATCTAATCTACAGTTTGTACAACATTGACCCATACGCCTTCACCTACCACCTTCAACCTGTCATTACCTCTGACTTGCGATACATCTAATCTACAGTTTGTACAACATTGGCCCACACGCCTTCACCTCCCAACTTCAACCTTCAACCTGTCATTACCTCTGACTTGCGATACATCTAATCTACAGTTTGTACAACATTGGTCCACACGCCTTCACCTACCACCTTCAACCTGTCATTACCTCTGACTTGCTATACATCTAATCTACAGTTTGTACAACATTGGTCCACACGCCTTCACCTACCACTTTCACTTTCAACCTTCAACCTGTCATTACCTCTGACTTGCGATACATCTAATCTACAGTTTGTACAACATTGGTCCACACGCCTTCACCTACCATCTTCAACCTGTCATTACCTCTGACTTGCTATACATCTAATCTACAGTTTGTACAACATTGGTCCACACGCCTTCACCTACCACCTGTCATTACCTCTGACTTGCGATACATATAATCTACAGTTTGTACAACATAGGTCCACACCACATACCTTCACCTACAACCTCCCAAAACCTATGACCTATGACACGTTCAATCTACAGTTAGTACGACAGTAGTCCTATGTGACAACACAAGCTGCCTTCACCTCCTACCTTACACATTCAACCTGTTATAACCTCTGACCTGCGATATATCTACTCTACAGTGGTCATCACGCCTTCAGACTCACCTTAAACCTTCAAACTCCCACAAGCTTTGACTAGTGATCCGACTGTTTGTTTCTATCTACAGTTTTTACACCAGCGATCGAAGTAAAACCATGTGAAACACACATTTCCTTCTTCATCTTCAATCTTCAACCTGACACAACATATGGTCTGCCATCTGGCTGTGATACATTTAGATTCCATCCACTGTATTACAACTATGGAATTTCTACAGTACCAAGTGGTATTTGTGCCCCGTTCATCCTCTAATGTCTCACAATTATTGTTGATATGTCTGTAAATGCAAACAGCATCTTGTCTGCCTTCATTCTCTACCTACTACATCACCCATTCCTCTCATTTACCACATATATGGTCTGGCCAATGTCGAATGGGTTGCATTCTGCAGCTCGTAGCACTCATACCCAACCATAAACGTCGTCTTTAATCACATGTTTACTTTGATTTAATTTTTGGCGTAATCCAGGTCCACTGTCCAAAAATGACTCTGTCTATTTCCATTTTCATGAGGGGTGCAACATTTATTTATTACAGGTTTATGAAATTACAATATTTTGTTTAATAAATTATGTTCTATCATTCATGGTAATGTGGTTGCACACGTTTTTCTTTTATTGATTGTAAAAAACCTCAAACTCCATACCCAATATGCAAATTCTAAAAATTGCAAATTAAGTAATTAATATTACAAGATCCCAACGAGATATAACAAGTAAACATAACGAGTAAGCTATGTTGATGTGAGATTTTATCATAATGGAAGCCGACACGAGTTAATTTCAAAACGAGATGGAAATGGCTTAGACCTGTTAAAGTGTTAAGTAAACGTGCTGACGCATGACGCAGCCCTTGCGTGCGTGTGTGTAGGTGCGTCTGTGTGTGCGTGTAGCGTCATGTCCGCCTTGTTGCATCATATTACCATCTAATCACTTTGAATTTAATTTACTTCATTCTTCATCATAATGCATTAAAATAATTCACCTTGAATTCAGTTGGCTTTTATTTAAGTATTTTTCAGTTACTCCTGAAACTGATTGTTTTAACATTGACTAGTGGATACTGAAGCAGACTACATAGATTATACATAGGTAATACATCTACATAGACCTAGATTTGCTGTAGCTATTTTTTTTATTTAAAAGAAACATAGTTGAATGGACTACTTAGTAAATGTTCTACAGTTCCAAATTTAAAATTCTTCCTTAGATTTTGTGACTGAATTAGTTGATGTGACATAATAGATACAAAGATACACTTTACACAAGTTAACGCTTCAGTTTAATTTTGCTTAGGTTGTTACACACGGTATGAAAATCATGCATATTAGCTCACTATGTCGATTACTCCAATCAATAATGTCCATTTTAATCTCTCACTGACTGTAGCTTTAACATGAGAATTAAAAGTCTTTAAGTCAAAGATATCATCAACGTTTGCGGAATTGTGTAAACGACACATTGCTTCATTTACTAATATTCGACGTGTAAATGAAAAATAAATTCGCTAAAAAGTAATTACGTAATCCGAGATCCTGCTTGGTGTAAACTCAAATACAATGAGATCTTAATTATTCAAACCTAGCTTGGATTAAGTAACGAGCTTTGTGCGAGAAGATTCTCTAACGATGCGAAAAACAGGAAATGAGTGGTTGAAAATTCCCTAACAAATAACAACAAAAAGTCTGAAAGGGTGATTTGCATGGAGGCCCTTAAGCAGTTTCCCGGTCCTCGAGTGGTCTTTGGGGGGATGAAGGGGGGGGGGTCGTCCACTCCTGGTGACATGTCCCCCCCCTCAAGTCTGTCAATGTCAACTGTCCAGTATGACAGTTCAACGGTCTACTTGGGGAGGGGGGGGGATACAACCATAGATATAAAATAATAACATATCTATGGGTACAACACTGATTAATTAATCATTATTTATGGACAAGAAATTGCGCACACGGTAATTCAGTGTTTTAGACCCTCATATTTTCAGCTTACTTAACTGCTTTAACTTTTTTTTGCAATTGTATTAATAAATGATGATGTTTCGTAAATGTCTGTTTTCCAAGTCAATGAATCAGTTTTACATTATACAGACGGTATGTATTTAATTTTTGCTCTACATTGTTAAAAATTGTAAACAAGTGGATAAAACAGTGATGCTGCTTTTAAGCTATTTTTTCATTTATACGTGAAATAATGAATTCACTCACTATACTAACTTGTAACTTGTAATTCTCTATATCTATTCATGGGCCCTACATAGCCTCTATTCAACTGTTCAGACTATAGTAAGAATATTACATTATTATGTCTATCTTATCAAAATTTACAATTATTTTATTGTTGACTTTTAATGTTGCTCCTTTTGCGAACTAATCAATTCCTCTATTCGAAATTTCTTCAAAAATATTACACATACAGCATTTAAAATCATTTAGCTCGGTCTTACAAAAGTCAACCTTATCCATTGGTTCCGTAACATAGCTACATAAATCATTACACTCCACACTACACTCATCCTTCACTCATGGGTTAAAATACATAAGTGGAATCCCCATCTCAATAACTGATAGTCAGATAACCAACATTTCAGCATAAAGAACAAACAGAAGTAATATTACAAATATTACGAAATGCGTTAAATAAATGTGTATCCAACAAATTGATGTTAAACAAGACCCAGTATAAGAGAGTAAACTCGTGCTTTGTTTACCGTAGCTAGACAACAGAAACAAAGAGATGAAGGTAATGCGTTAACCCGGTCTGAGGTTAGGGGATTATACAACGAGGGGGGGGGGGGTGAACCCCTCGCCGCCATTTTGA